ATGCCTTTTTTCCCTCTAATCTTGTTTGTCTAAGAAGGGCAAGTATAACATGGTAACTTGAGGTAAATATATTTTTTTCTAGACAGATTTTTGTGATTTGAGGACAAAAATTTAGCTTATATTTAGCTTCTTGGGTCTTAGTTTGACTGTCACTTCAGTAAATGTTAATTGAGCACCTGTATTGTGCTAGATCCAGAATGAACATGACCCTGTTCTTTACCACCTCAGAGAGATCGTCATAAAAATGGCCACTGTGCTGTGTCTTGACAGTGGCAGTGTGTCTCCTGTCGCCATGGCACAGAGGCGGGATACGATGGCAGAGCTGCCTTTTTGAGAATGCACAGAAATGTGGGGCGCCTGGGTGGCTCAGCCAGTTAAGCAGCCAACTCTTGATTTCAGTTCAGGTCATGATCTCACAGTTCATGAGTTTGAGCCCCACATCAGGCTCTACATTGACAGTGTGGAACTTGTTTAAGATTCTCTCTCTCCTCTCCTCTGTCTGCCCCTCATGCACTCGCCTGCATTCTCTCTCTTTTTCAAAATAAAGTTTTTGGACACCAGGGTGTCCCAGTCAGTTAAGCGTTGGACTTCGGCTCAGGTCCTGGTCTCTCAGTTTGTGAGTTTGAGCCCCATGTCAGACTCTGTGCTGACAGCTCTGGGCCTGGAGCCAGCTCCAGCTTCTGTGTCTCCCCCTGCTTCTGTCTCTCTCCTGCTCATGCTCTGTCTCTATCTCTCAAAAATAAATAACTTAAAAAAAATATTTTAAATAATGTTTTTTAAAAAAAGAATAGAAACTTGGGGTACCTGGGTGACTGAGTCAGTTGAGTGACCAACTCTTGATTTCAGCTCAGGTCATGATCCCATGGTTTGTGGGATGAAGCCCCCAGGGCTCTGTGTAGAGCCTGCTTGGAATTCTCTTTTCTCCCTTTCCTTCCCCCACTTGTACACTCTATACATCTCTCAAAATAAGTAAATAAATTTTATTTTTCTTAAAAAAAAATAGAAATTCACAGGGCTAGGGCATAGGGAGAATGGTAGTGTAGACATAGGAGAAATTCTGTACAAAAATATCAAAGTAAGAAACACATGGAACATTTAGGAAAGTGAAAGTAGTTTGTTAGTTTTGGAGATTAAGGTTTTTCGGGGTGGAGTGGGAAAAAGGGGTTGCTGCAGAGCAGAGGCTAAAGGGACAAGCAAGCCCAGGCATAAAAATTAGTTCCTGAGACTCAATTAGGCTATAGTTCTATTTTTCATGTTTCATTTGTTGACAATTATATTATCTAACATTACTTATAGTGGCAAAAAATGCTCATAACTTTAATATTTAAGATCAAGTCTTCTTATCATTTTTTATCATTATTATTATTTTTTTTTTTTAAGTAAGCTCTATGCTCAACGTGAAGCTTGAACTTAGGACCCCAAGGTCAAGAGTTGCATACTTGCAACCAATCAGGTGGCCCTCAATTCTTTGAAAGGCACTGTTCTATTTTCTGTGCTATTTAACGTAGCTTGTGGTTCTTTTACGTGTTAAACACAATGACTTCATACTTAGGTTCTCAAAGCAAAGCTACAGAATATGGATAATGTTTTGTAGAGACATTTTCTTAAAAAATTATTTGATTGTGAAATGTAAAATCACACAGCTGTATTAGTACATGGAGGATAAAGGGCACGGTAACTGGATGAAAATACTAGGAGGCGGGGTTTGATTAATAGTTCAATTCTACATTTAAAATTTTAACACATTTTGGGGCACCTCAGCGGCTCAGTCAGTTGAGTGTCCCACTCTTTTTGTTGTTGTTCTTTTTTAATGTTTGTTTGTTTTTGAGAGAGAGAGAACATGAACAGGGGAGGGGCAGAGAGCGAGGAAGACACAGAATCTGAAGCAGGCTCCAGGCTCTGAGCTGTCAGCACACAGACTGTGAGATCATGACCTGAGCCGAAGTTGGATGCCCAATTGACTTAGCCACCCAGGCGCCCCTTGAGTGTCCCATTCTTCATCTTGGTTCAGGTCAGGATCCCAGAATCATGGGATCGAGTCCCTCATCTAGCTTCACACTGAGCATGGAGCCTGCTTGAGCTCCTTTCTCTCTTTCCTCTGCCCCTCTTCCTCACTCACTTGTTCTCCCTCAAATAAAATGAGAGGCACCTGGGTGACTCAGTTGGTTAAGTCTCCAACTCTTGATTTTGGCCTGTGGTTGATGAGTTGAGTTGCAGTCCTGCGTTAGGCTCTGCACTGATAGCATGGAGCCCACTTGGGATTCTCTGGTTTAGTCTCTCTCTCTGCCCTTCCCCTGCTCGTGCACTTGCTCACTCTCAAAAATAAACATTTTTAAAAATCTTAATATGTGTCTGTGAGAATTTACATAATAAAATTTCTCATGTTTGTAGATTTATGTTGAAATTGAACGTGCTCGACTGACTAAAACATTAGCAACTATAAAAGAGCAAAATGGTGACGTGAAGGAGGCGGCCTCCATTTTACAAGAGTTACAGGTAAGGACTTGTATTTAGAATGTGCAAAGCGTGATATTTGGTCAGCAGTATTTCTTGTAGATAGCTGAGTTTGGCAGCTGATCACTTCTTCAAAATTACCAAGGTTAAGGGTGCGTGCAGTGGAGTGTGAGATTATTCAGATACCTGAAAATTACGTCATTATGGTCCCAGCTAAACTTAACTGCTAAAAAAGTTTTGAAGAGAAGTTAGAATCAATCAGTCTTGATTGTGTGCTATTATTTGAACATTTTCAGTCTTGTTGGAATTCAAATCCGTAATTCATGTACTATTCACTGCTGCCTCAGAGATTTGTGCTTAATCATTAGCTTCATTTTAAATGAATACTTGATTGATGGTCATTTTCTAGACTAAATTGGTTTAACAAAAACTGTCCCATAATTTGCTATGTTTCAGGACAAATTTTTAGGAGAGATCTTAAAATGAGACAGCAAAGAGCTAAGAAATCTGAGAAAAGCCATAGACTCACTCCTCACTCACTTAAAAAAGTACCTGAACTACACTCAAAATTTTGCTTATTATTTTGGCCCATCAAGGTTTCCCCATTAAGTTAAGTTGCTTATTCTGATTTTTCAGTCATGTGCCATTTTAGCCAAAGGAAGGGAGATAGTATAGCACTGAGAGGACTTTGTGTGCTCTGTGTTGTCTTTGTGCTTTTTTAAAAACGTGTCTTGTGTTCTCTCTACATTTTATCTTATTTAATGTTCACACACAATACTATTTTTATCCTGATTATTCTGCCAAGGAAACTGAAACTTGAAAGGATTAAGTAATAAGCCTAAAGTAATTGCCAAGTGGTAGAGTTCGGTCAGATTCATACTAGTTCTGTTGGACTTCAAACTTCTTTTCTTCTTTTTAATTAAGAATGTATATCTTGGAGCAGTTTTAGGTTCACAACAAAGTTGAGTGGCAAGTACAGAGAGCGCGTGTATACACACACACACACACACACACACACCCCTTCCCATTCTGCCAGCAACAAAGTTGAGTGGCAAGTACAGAGAGCGCATGTACACACACACACACACCCACCCACCCACACACACACACACACACACACACCCACCCACCCACCCACCCCTTCCCATTCTGCCAGCGTGTTGAACCAGAATGGTACATAAGTTACACTTGATGAACTGTATCAACACGTGATCACCCAAAGTCTGTAATTTGCCATAAGGTTCACTGTTGATGTCCATTCTATGGATTTTGAGAAATGTATAATGACGTGTGTGCGTCAGTGTAGTGCCATACAAAATAGTTTCACTGCCCTAAAAATCCTCTGTGCTCTGCCCGTTCCTCCCTCTCCCCACACCCCCGCCCCCTGGCAACCACTGATCTCCCCACCATCTCCATAGTTTTGTCTTTCCACCAGGAGGATTATGTGCCTCATGATTCAACATCCTCTGAAATATTCTTGCCAGAAAGTTTCACCTCAATTATAGAAAGCTAGATTTAACTACCAGTTTCCAAGATGTACCCGGGATGGAGGAGCCTATTAAATGATACCACAGGGATGCAATCAGCGTAATTTAGACCCCAGGAAACTCTAGGGTGATTGGCTTCATTTCTGTCAATAAATAAATGGCAAGGAAAAAAGAACCTTATCTACCGATTGCAAAGTACACACCTTATTTGGATTCTGATTTAATTAAATGAGATATTGAGGACTGACTAGATAGTGATCTAAAGAATTTTTAGGTATGATCGGTTTTTTTCAGTTAATCTTTTAGAAATACATACGGAAATACATATAATATGTTATCTGAAATTTGCTTCAAAATAATTGACACATGCATAGTGAGTGAAGGTACGTAAATGAAACATTGATGGTTCATTGTATGAGTTTTTATTTTCTCTGATAAAAAGTTACAAAGAAGACTGTGAAATAAAAACCTTTTTCAGACCTAATAATAATAGTCTTATTTATGTGGAAACTAATTTGCCAATAAACTCTTTGTAAAAAAAGAAAGAAAGAAAAAAAATAATAGTCTATTTCATTTTGTTATTCGCATTTTATAAATTCATTTGCAATATGTGTATACCAAGTATTAAAAATGTTTTTCGTAATATTTGATATAATTGATTTTCTGTGTTGTATCTGTTGTATTAACTGTAACTCAACATTCTGCATCCGTTAGGAGTCGTGTCAGCCTTGTTATCTGAGTTGTAAAAAGACTAGTGTCTCTTTTTTTCTGTAATTTTTGATTGCATAAATAGAAAGCCTGCAAGTGGCGTCATATTTTGGTTTCAGAATTGTAAGTTTTTTTTACAAGCCATGAGGAAAATGCAAATTAAAACCACAGTGAGACCCCCCCCTCACACACACACCTATTAGAATAGCTAAGAAAAAAAGTACTGACGATACAGGCGCCGGCAGGATGCGGGGTGATGAGAGCCCTCCTCCGTTGCTGAGGGGAATGAAAACTGGTGCAGTCACTCTGGGAACCAGTTGGCTGTTTCTTTTTTTCTGTCTTCTTTTTTCCTCCCTGGCATCGGTTCACCTTTGGCATTACCGGCACTGCCCACGGTGCTGTCCACAGACCACCGTGAGGAGCCGCCACCTGCGGTTCGGCAGCTTCATGTGAAGCCTACGTGTGCCTGCCAGACGGCCGAGCGGTCCTACTTCTTGTGCCCAAGAGAAGTGAAAACCCAAGTTCACACTCAGCCTGTCCACTGATGCTCAGAGAGGGCACCAGATGGAATCAGCCCATGTGTCCTTCAGCAGGGGGGTAGAGAAACTGGTCCCTCCACGCGGTGGAGTCCTTCATCGCCATAAAAAGGAGGGAGCCTGTTGTTCCATATCATTGGTTGTCGAGGGTTTAAAGCAGGGAAAGTGTGTGACTGCAAAGGGGTAGCACGAGGACCATTTTTGGACTGAAAGTTCTGTGTCTCGATTGTGATGGTGGTTATACCACACAGGGTAACGACTTAGTTCTATAGTTACCTACATAGCTGAAAATTTACAGAACTTTTTATACCAGAAGAGAAAATACCCATTTGCTATATATTTTTTAAAATTGCAATTTTCTGGAGGAAACTAGCTTTTTATATCATCATCAGTACTCTCTCAGTGTGCGAGAAGGTTCTTCTTATTCGACAGGTGTGAATATTTTAATACGCTTAATTTTGCCATTTTTAAAAATTATCAAATACAAACTTATTTGGGGCCTTTCTAGGTGGAAACCTATGGGTCAATGGAAAAGAAAGAGCGAGTGGAGTTTATTTTGGAGCAGATGAGGCTCTGTCTAGCTGTGAAGGATTACATTCGAACACAAATCATCAGCAAGAAAATTAACACCAAATTTTTCCAGGAAGAAAATACAGAGGTAAGCATGTCTCTTACCTACAAGTTCACTATAGAAGTATTTGGAAAAAACCATAAGTCCCAATTTATTATATTGACTTTTTTTTTCAGAAATTAAAGTTGAAATATTATAACTTAATGATTCAGCTGGATCAACATGAGGGGTCCTATTTGTCTATTTGTAAGCACTACAGAGCAATATACGATACTCCCTGCATACAGGCAGAAAGTGAGAAGTGGCAGCAGGTAAGAATATATTCTTATACTGGACACTGATACTTATTGGGAAGAATTTGCACTTTTTATTTTGAAATAATTTTAACTTCAGTAATTATAAGTAGTTGTATGGGGCTGCTTTCTATTCAGTGTGTTGATAATTCAGTTTATCTTTACTGATTCAAACAAATTGTGGCAATACTCTAAATTCTTTATCACTTTTGAAGAATGTGGGTTTACTATTTAAAACACGTATACCGGCACCTGGATAGCTCAGTTGATAGAGCATGCAACTCTTGATCCTGACGTTGTGAATTCAAGTCCCATGTTGGGTAGAGAGAGTACTTAAAATACAAGGTGCCTGGGTGGCTTAGTTGGTTGAGCATCCAACTTCGGCTCAGGTCATGATCCCACAGCTCATGGGTTTGAGCCCCGCATCTGGCTTGGTGCTGACAGCTCAGAGCCTGGAGCCTGCTTTGGATTCTGCGCCTCCCTCTCTCTCCATCCCTCCCTCACTCTTTATCTCTCAAAAATAAATAAAACATTAAAAAATATTTTTTAGGGGCGCCTGGGTGGCTTAGTCGGTTGAGCGTCCGACTTTGGCTCAGGTCATGATCTCATGGTTCGTTGGGCTCTGTGCTGACAGCTAGCTCGGAGCCTGGAGCCTGCTTCAGATTCTGTGTCTCCCTCTCTCTCTGACCTTCCCCTGCTCACTGTGTCTGTCTGTCTCAGAAATATATAAAACATTAAAAAAATTTTTTTTAACATTTTTTAAATAAACATTTAAAAAGGCTAAAAATAATAAAATGAGATTAAATAAAATATGTATAGCAGGTCATTTGCTAAATAACAAAGGTTATAAGTAAAGTTCTGGCATTACTTTGGAAAATCATTTCACAAGACTTTTTTTTTTTTTTAATGTTTTATTTATTTCTGAGAGAGAGAGACAGCGTGAGCAAGGGAGGGTCAGACAGAGAGGGAGACACAGAATCCGAAGACAGGCTCCAGGCTCTGAGCTGGCTGTCAGCACAGAGCCTGATGCGGGGCTTGAACCCATGAACCGCAAGATCATGACCTGAGCCGAAGTCTGATGCTTTACCGACTGAGCCACCCAGGTGCTCCTCACAAGACTATTTCAAATAGCTTATATATATATATATTCCACATTTGTGGCTAACTCGTTATAAGAACTTTTTCTTTATACGTTTGTCACCGATAAAAAATGTCAGCCCGGGTAGTAATTCAGATTTGCAAGGACTTACATAATTGTTGTAGAAAAACTTATTATGACAGAAAGCCACTAGGTAAAGATCAGCTTTGTAGGACGTTTGTTACCTGAGACTTTAGAGAACAGTGTCAAACATGAACATAGACAATTCTCTGGTGATGTTTTTAGTTCCTGCCAAAGTTTCATTTTGTTTCTAAGCTTACATGTAATCCATTGTGTTACATGATGTCTGTAGGCTCTGAAAAGTGTTGTCCTCTATGTGATCTTGGCTCCTTTTGACAATGAACAGTCAGATTTGGTTCACCGAATAAGTGGCGACAAGAAGTTAGAAGAAATTCCTAAATACAAGTAAGTACGATTATAGGTGATGCAGAAATGCCATTATGAAAAAAAAATTGGCTAACCTGAAACACACCTTCTTAATCGGTTGCTGATAGATTGTATTGGCAAATAAAACTAGAGTTCATAAAGTAGTGAAATGTGTTTTCGCACTGCATTTGAAATTAATGAGGCTATAGCATGCTTCAATTTAAACCATTTATCAAGTAGAAGTTGCATTTCAAGCTCACTTTAGCAGCTTTTGGTTAATTAACCATTTGATAAAGTTTTAGTATTAGTAATTTGGGGCTTCATGATTTTCAGAAGTACATTCTATATAAAACAGACATATACTTCATAAGCATAGTGGGCTTTTATTTAAAAGCTGGTTTTTTTGTTCTTTTATCTGTCTCAGTAGTAAGTTTACATTAATTAATTATTCCAGAGTTTGGCAAATACGTTGCAGGAGGGAGCAGGATGATAAGTAGGGGAATGCTCCGTTCAGAATTACTGTGGAAGAAATGATAGTAAAGTGGGCAGAATAAATACTCATCAGCGACTGGCTCCTGGCTGGCCCCGTCGGAAGAGCGTGTGACTCTTGATCTCAGAGGCCTAGGCTTGAGTCCCTGTTGGGTGTAGAGATTGCTTGACAATTTTTTTAAATCTTAGAAAAAAAAATCAACTTGTATCTTACTCTACAAATAAAAGTTTATATAAGTACACTCTTGATCAGTTTTTAAACATTTGCTGTTACAGTAGATGAAACTTAATTTTTGCAGATTTGGAATATTCAGTTTTATATGATTCACAGGGATCTTTTAAAGCTTTTTACCACAATGGAGCTGATGCGCTGGTCCACGCTGGTTGAAGACTATGGACTGGAATTAAGAAAAGGGTCTCCTGAGAGTCCAGCAACTGATGTGTTTGGTTCTACGGAGGAAGGTGAAAGAAGGTGGAAAGACCTGAAGAACAGAGTTGTTGAACATGTAAGAGTCTAGCATGGGAGAAGGTACACCAGGTTCAGTCAGAAGAGTGTGTGACTCTTGATCTCAGGGTCGTGAGTTCGAGCCCCATGTTGGCCATGGATTATGCTTAAAAAAATGAATATTGAAGGAAAAAAGAAATCAGGCATGATAGAGTTGCCAGTCTGGAAGTAAATTTGGGCAAATTTGAGCATAAACTTTGATCTGTTAAGATTGATGGTCAAAGGTTTCTTTTGGAGGCTATGTCTTTAGTTCTTTGCTTTAGGATTTGGGGGGGGGGGAGGTCTGTGCCCGGTGTAGTAGAAATGTAAATTTGTTGTTCAGATGTTTGTTGTATATTTCCCAAAGTACATCAGAATTTATCTCATCTCTCTTATTACCCCCCATTCCCTCATTTTTGGCTTTTCAAAAAAGAAAACTGTGTTTTAGCATGCTTATTTTGTGGGTACCTCTCAAGAATCCAAAATTTTCCAGCATATAAACAAGCAGGAATTTTTTAAGAATGTGGGGGCTAGTTGTGGGTGAAAGGAGCGATTTTTGTCTGATACTCACTTGGGAGTTTTGGGAATGGGTTAAAAGTCTTAAACCTGACCATCTGACCTTGATGCCACCGTAGATTGAATTATCTCAGCGTTCATGCACATAACATCGTGTTGTGAGCCTTCTGTGTGCCCGACGCTGTACAAAGTGCTGAGGCACGTGGGAAAATAAGACTTGGTCCCTGCCTTCAGGCAGCTTAAAAATAAATCCTAGAAAAGATATATGTATAAATAAAAGTGTTATCGGGGGTGTCTGAGTGGCTCAGTTGGTTAAGCTCTTGATTTCGGCTCAGGTCGTGATCTCCTCGTTTGAGTTTCAGCCCTGCGTGGGGCCCTGCGTGCACAGTGTGGAGCCTGCTTGGGATACTCTCTCTCCCTCTCCCTCTCTCTGCTCCTCCCCCGTTCGCAGACATGCACACGCTCTTGCTCTCTCTCAAAATATAAATAAATAAACTTTTTAAGAAATGTTATAGGTATTAGGGTTCAAGTATATATCGAATGGAGGAGAGCATGAGGAGAAAGTTGGTTGGTTCTGCCTGAGAGCACAGTCAGGCTAGACGGAAGGGAAGATCTGTGAGAAGGGTACCGGGTCAGCAGCGGCACTTGGGATGGTCTGAGCAAAGGCATGGCGACACAGACCAGCAGGGGCGCCTTCAGGCCTCCAAACAGGGCTCAGTGAGGAAGGAAGTCGGAGATCCGGTAAGGGTCTGGGACTTAACAAGTGTATATACTCCAGTCGTGCAGACTGAGAGGACGGTGACCAGGCTCCTATCTGACAAAGACCCCTCTCACAGGAACTGTGGAGAAGGGACTTGGAGAAAGACTGGGAGGGAACAGAGAAGACGAAGTGAGGTCCCCTGTGGGCTCCATTCAGGGCAGTAGCTGAGAATTGAAGAACAGATGGGGTGGAAATATTTTAAGAGAAAATCAGTAGAATCTGGTCACTGATTAAAATTTAAACGATGAAGAAGGATCTAG